TGTAGGGAATACAAGGGAGGGTAAATGCTGTTTTGGCTTTTTGTTTGTTTGTTTTGACTTTTTAAAACAAGCCACTGTTTTGTTTTGTTTTTAATGAAAAGATTGGTAGTTTTGTGTATAGATTCCTAGAAGAAAGCCAGATAGATCTCCATGGGAAGTTGACATAGTTGAGGGGGTATTCAAGTGAGAGGGATAGAAGCTTCAGGTTGGTGATGGGTGGATATTTGGTTATCCTGAGGTAACGATGATTTATTTCTGTATTTCTAGTAAATTAAGATGTAGGACCTTACTGAGAAACATGGACAGGTACTAATTTTAGAACTTTTTTTCTTCATTTGGTTTCAGGAGCCAAAGTGTTGAAGTATTTTTGAATGTTTGTCACAGCCATGTATATTTAAATGTTCGTTTATAGGGAATGTTCAACATAATATCTTACAGTTTCTTAATCTAAAATGTTAGTTAAATCCTCAGCAATTGTAGTTAATGATCTTTTAAGTTTTTGAAATCACACCAATTCTGAGTAATCCTTATTATTGCATAGAAAATCAAGGGGAAAATTATGTGCATCTGAAGTAAATGCTTAAGGTATAGTTACATTTAGTACGGAAAAAATTCACTGACCCCTGCCAAAGGCAATTGTAGAAACAAATGAACGCCTAAATCAATGTAAAAGAAGGTGAAGACAATATACTTCAGGGTAAAAGAAGTTATATGACCTGAATTTTTTTTTCCCTTGACTTCACCTAAGCCTAGTGCTGTTATCTGAAGGGAGAGATGCTGATTTACTTGAGAATTCAGCTTGCTTGTCAATCTTGATGCTAAGATTAAGACATTTTCTAAAGGATGTTATTATGCTACTGGATGTTCAGTCCTGTTAATGTGCCTTACATATGATTCTCTCTGAAATAGCTAAATCATTTATCTGTTGCAAGAAACTGAGGGCACTGAGTCCTTATGATGTTCTCACCTTTCTTTGGGTCATCCTTAAAATTGTCTCCCCAGATTCAGGAGCAATGAACAGATTATCCCTTTTACAAACAGTCGCACTTTGAATGTCCCCGCTGTAAGGTCTTTCTGCCCAGGAATAGACCAGGCAAAATAAAAACCTAATTTTAAGCAATTTTTTCCATAGTTTATTAATAATTAAAAAAAATTATAGATGGTCTAAATTGTTGAATTTGCTTATTTATCATTATTCCATTAGACTTAACTGTCAGTCTCTATTGGTGGAGGAGGACGTTGTTTGGAGTTTTGCAGTCTCCTTCCTGGTGATGTAGGAAAAACTTGTCCATTTTTGGCATTCAAAATGCAGATGATGAGGGAGCTAATTCTTTATACTTATGCATCAGTCTTCCACAGTTACCCATATTTTGGGGACCCAGAATACAGGGCTGTATTTAAGCCCCATTACTTTCTCTTATTTATTTTGCTGAGCACTAATCACTACCATACTTAAGTTTGTTTGTGTATATCTCTCCATTAGAGTACAGGCTCCTTGAGAGTTGGGACTTTGTTTTTGTTTATGGTGTCTACTGGATGCTTCGAATAGTGCCTGACACATAGAAAGTGCTCAATAATTAGCCTCAAAAAGAGAGAAGAAAGTACTCTCAGTCTGCAATGTAGAAAATGCTCAATAAGTATTTGTTGATATTGTTGAAAGCCCTCATAAGTATTTACTTTTTTTTGCTATGAGTTTTCTTGACTGCTAGGAATAGATCACTAGAATGGAGGAGAGTTTGGTATACAGGGATGAACAAAATATCGGGGTATTGGGTTCTGTAGTATACATAAGAACCAGAAGGCCTAAGCTCTAACAAATAAAAACTTATGCTTAGCACACGTGCCACATGAACACATTTATAGTATTTAAGCCATTAGAACAGATAAGAAAATATTTAGTTAACTGTAAAAGCTCAATCTGAATTTTAAGTTTCCGATCTGAAATCCTGTCCTAAACCCTCCATGTTAAGGTTTTTGCTGACTTTAAGACAACCTTAAAGTTGTGAAGTTGCAAGCGACGGTGTTTGTGTTACTCTCAAGTCTTGGTTTTTGTAAACTGATATAGCCACTATGGAGAACTGTATGGAGGTTCCTTAAAAACTAAAAATAGAACTACCATACGACCCAGCAGTCCCACTACTGGGCATATCCCCTGAGAAAACCATAATGCAAAAAGAGCCATGTACCACAATGTTCATTGCAGTTCTATTTACAGTAGCCAGGACATGGAGGGAACCTAAGTGTTCATCGACAGATGAATGGATAAAGAAGATGTGGCACATATATACAATGGAATATTACTCAGCCATAAAAAGAAACGAAATTGAGTTATTTGTAGTGAGGTGGATGGACCTGGAGTCTGTCATACAGAGTGAAGTAAGTCAAAGACAAAAACAAATACCATATGCTAACACATACGTATGGAATCTAAAAAAAAAGGTTCTGAAGAACCTAGGGGCAGGACAGGAATAAAGACGCAGACTAGAGAGTGGACTTGAGGACATGGGGAGGGGGAAGGGTAAGCTGGGACGAAGTGAGAGAGTGGCATGGACATATATACACTACCAAATGTAAAATAAATAGCTAGTGGGAAGAAGCCACATAGCACAGGGAGATCAGCTCTGTGCTTTGTTACCACCTAGAGGGGTGGGCTAGGGAGTAGATATGGGGATATATGTATAGCTGGTTCACTTTGTTATAAAGCAGAAACTAACACACCATTATAAAGCAATTATACTCCAATAAAGATGTTAAAAAAAAAAAGTCTTGGATTTGACCATTAAGTCAGGGAATGGATACATTCGCTGTATACCATGCAGAGGGACATAACATTCTTATTTTCTGTTCCTTTTTATTTTTCTTCTTGGGGAATGGACATCCTTAGTCAGGTTTTATTAATGTGCTCTCTTTATCTCATTTTTGGGATAATACAGTGTTTTTGCATTGTGCTTTCACATCAACAGAGGTTAAAATTCAATAAACATTTATCATGTGTCAGGTACTAGGCTAGGTTCTTTCAAATGCGTTACCTTATTTAATCTTCAAAACAGCCCTGTAAGGTAGATGGTATAGTTTCCAACCTTAATTTTTTTTTTTTAATAAATTTATTTATTTATTTTTGGCTGTGTTGGGTCTTTGTTTCTGTGCGAGGGCTTTCTCTAGTTGCGGCCAGCGGGGGCCACTCTTCATCGCGGTGCGCGGGTCTCTCACTGTCGCGGCCTCTCTTGTTGCGGAGCACAGGCTCCAGACGCGCAGGCTCAGTAGTTGTGGCTCACGGGCCTAGTTGCTCCGCGGCATGTGGGATCTTCCCAGACCAGGGCTCAAACCTGTGTCCCCAGCACTGGCAGGCAGATTCTCAACCACTGCACCACCAGGGAAGTCCCAACCTTAATTTTTTTTATCATGGTAATGGAGGCGTAGGGAGCTGCCTTGACTTGACCAGGATCACAAAGTTGGTAAGGGGTGGAACGAGACTTTGAACCCTGTGTTTCTTCTTTCACACCTTATCATCTCTCTTGCAGTGTATTTCATACAGAAAATAAATGATAGGTACTCCTGTTGTAGGAAGTTGTAAACTGAGTGCTTCATCTTTTTTTGAGGCTACTGTTACAGTTTCTTTCCTAACAAATATCTGCTTAATAGCCTAAATGAGATAGCTACAAATATTTGACAGCTAACATTTGATTATGTTTTTTAAAAATTGGCACGTTCTTTCTTTTTTGTGAACTTTGAACATACTGCACTTGATGTATTAAAATAGCAATATTCATGCAGTTTGTGTATATGTCAAGCCTTTTATTTATGCATGTCACTCATATCATTGTTTTCTGTTTTAAATTTTAGGTTCTTGGGGGTTTTCTCTATCTGTGAGTACTTGGTAAAAACTTAAAGCATAAAGATAAAAGGCAGATAGTGACCAAATGAGTGGTTTTGGCAAATACAGTGGTGAAGCCTCCTTCAGGTAGGTAGAGAGGAGGAGGGAAGAGGGTGGTCTTGTAGGAGCTAAAGAGAGCGTAAGCTTTACTATAGATTAGTAGGACTGAAGTAGAAGATTTGTTTGGGAGGTAGTGTTGATAATGTAGGGAACACATTTTAAACAATTACGAAAGCCAGGTATGGAAAATAGAGAGCCGTTAGAAGCTGTGGTTTGTTTTTAATTGAACACTAATTTGATCAAAATGTATTTTTACGAGTAATATTTTTGTAGTTTTAAGTCAGGGAGGTGTCTAGAAGAATACTGAAATAGATTACCTCTTGAGGTGATAGGTTACCTGAACTCTAGGGCAGTGGTTCTTGAAGTGTGGTCCACTTACCAGCAAGGTAAACATTATCTGGGTGTCTGGGAACTAGTTAGAAATGCGTATTTTTGGGCCCTGCCTCATACTTTTGGTGGATCAGAAACTCTGGGGTTTGGGACCCAGTGATCTGTGTTTTAACAAGCCAGGTGATTCTGGTGTGTGCAGAAGTTTGAGAACTACTGCTCTGGGGTATAGATAGTAGAAATGGAAAGGAAGAGATAGAAGCAAGACACTTTGGCAGTGAAGGACCGACAAAACTTGGTGAATGATAGATAGCAGCATGTTAGGATGGAAAAGAGTGCTTGATTGGGGATCATGAGCCCAGAGTCCTAGTACCAATTCTATTACCAGCTATAGTTTTGAGCAAGAGAACTGACCTCTTATTGAGGGAATTGTACTAAGTGATTTCTGAGGATTTTGGAAGCAAAGACAAATGAATTAAGGTGGACTCTGGGATTAAGTCTCGATTATTAGGAAGATTGGGGGGAGGGATTTTTGAAAGAGGGAGGAGTGAGTGTGGGCGGATGTTTTAGACATTTGGAACAGATTTGTTTAAAGCAGAGGTTCTCAGCTGGGTGTGATTTTTGCCCCCCCACACCCGAGACATTTGGCTATATCTGGAGACATTTTTGATTGTCAGACTAGGAGAGTACTACTGGTATGTTAGTGAGTAGAGGCTGGGGATGCTGTTAAAACATCCCATTAAACATTCCCTACAACAGAACCTGCCGTATAGCGTGGGGAGCTCAGCTCGGTGCTCTGTGGTGACCTAGATGGGTGGGATGGGGTGGTGGTGGGAGGGAGGTCCAAGAGGGAGGGGGTATATGTATACATATAGCTGATTCACTTCGTTGTACAGCAGGAACTAACACAACATTGTAAAGCAACTATACCCCCAAAACAAAAACCAAAACAAATTGCCCATAACAAAGAATTATCCAGTGTTAATTGGGTGAGATTGAAAACTGATTTAAAGAGAGCTATCCAGTAGATGGGTTCTAGGTTTCCATCCTGATTATCTGCTGTTAATCTTAGAGTTTTAAGTCCAACACAAAACATCTTGAAAGCATCTCAGATTGTGTTTCTCAGGGCTTTGCCCAAATAAGCATGAAGTGGTTTTTTTGTTGTTGAATTTTTGCAAAAGTAACTTCATGGTCATGGCAAATCCTCAACCTAGTTGCAGATTTCTTTATTATTCCTTTTAACTTACTCTAAGATCACTTGATTTGGGTAACCAAAGTAAGTACTCACTGTCTTGAGATGAATAGTTAAGTTATAGCAATAAATCATCTTTTGGTATTCTCTTTGAAGGATAGCAAAAAATGAGCTAAAAGCTGTGGGTGTTGATGTGAACAAATATTGAAATACTTTGATTACCCTGTGGCTGAGTAAACCCATGGCCATTCCTGAGAAACAACCTCATGAGCTGGTTGTGGCCCTCAGTGTGAATTTAAGGTAGCCCCAACCTTAATTTATCTCTTTATATCCCTGGATCACAGAAGTTACGAAGTCTTTTGTGTCAGGGCAGTAATCTAGCCAACCCTTTCTTGTTTCTGACAGTAACTTCAAGAGAATGTATATTCATAAATATGGTGATTGTATTGTAGTAGTTTAATCATTTCCAAAGTACCTCTATATTTATTGTCTTTTGATCATCTTATTCTTTTGATCATCACAATTGCAGGGTTTGCTAGGACATGGGGATGGTGCTACCATGTTGCACAATTCCTGAGGGACCCATTCACATTTCTTAATCTATGTGAAAGATGCTCTTGGAGATGGGCAGTGTGCAAACAAACAAAAAAAAGGGACCCTTTCTGGGTGGGTAAGATAAAGGAAGGGCTTCCCTCAAGGCGCAGTGGTTAAGAATCTGCCTGCCGATGCAGGGGGCACAGGTTTGAACCCCGGTCCAGGAAGATCCCACATGCTGCAGAGCAGCTAAGCCTGTGTGCCACAACTACTGAGCCTGCGCTCTAGAGCCCACAAGCCACAACTACTGAGCCCGTGTGCCTAGAGCCCATGCTCCGCAACAGGAGAAACCACGACAATGAGAAGCCCACGTACCGCAATGAAGAGTAGCTCCTACTCTCCGCAACTAGAGAAAAGCCTGTGCAGCAACGAAGACCCAATGCAGCCAAAAATAAATATAAATAAAATAAATTTCTTTCAAAAAAAAGATAAAGGAAAAGCCACCTTGTATATTTGAAACAGAGGGAGAAAAGAGTCCAGTCTGATGAATAGCACATATTAATTGAGTGTATACTATGTGCTTGGTACTGACCTTTTACATATATTAACTAATTTAATTTTCATCAGCCCTTTGAGGTAGGTTCTGTGATTTCCATTTTCTAGTTTGGAAACTGAGGCATAGCACAGTTAAGTAACTTGTCCCAGGTTATTC